GGGTCTTGACACATTCCAATGTGCAAGTAATGTTCCTTTTATTTTAATAAGTATTAGGTCCTAGAGTTATTGCCCTTCATCTAATCTGTCCACCTATCTATTAGGTGAATATACTATGAGGAGACCTTCCCTTGCCATTTCCAAGGGTCCTTTCACAGAACTGGAATACTTCACTGGAATACTTTCTGAGTTTGATTTCTGAACATTGGCGGCCTTGGCTGCTTCTGTGGGTTCCCAGGGTTGAGTCTCCCTCAGTATATTCTAGTGCCATCCCTTCTTCTACCCCCCGCCCAGGTACCCAGCAGCCTCTGTGCTCCACTCAAGGAATCTGGGATCCTGGCTAGAGATCTAAGCCAGGAAAATCTTTTTTTCCCTTTGCTTTCTCTTCTTCAAGGCACCTTATATCTCCCCACTCCTTTCTTCCCTCCTCAATCTATTTAAATTCCGTAAACTTTCACAAAAACCTGAGAAGTGATCATCATCAAGGGTTAGCATCCCTCTTAAGAGTTGTGGAGGAGGCACTAGACAGTAAAGTAGCTGTGAGTGTATTGTCCATGTTTTAGATAATATCCTTGGTGTGGATTCTTGTTGTATTTGCTCAATGCTTGACTAATTGATTGATGGATTTGCACTTTGAACATTTTACTAGGCCTTTTCAGTTTGTTTGCTTGGGCCAAGGCACTTTGCTAAAATTTTAGCCTGAACTCCTTTCTTTAGGGGTAGAAAAGTGTGTGTGTTTGTGTGTGTGTGTGTATGTGTTGGTATCAGGTGGAAATTTCTGGGTATAACTAGATCTTTAGACTTTGCATACTTATCTCCCTTATTCTGTTTCGATGGTAAAAATATGAAATGTTTTTATTCTATGTGTTTGTGGCTACTTGGTTTTATCAACTGTTACTGTTGTTTGCTATTTCACTAAAATATGCCCCTAAGGAGTACAAATTGTTACTTATTGCCAAGGTTTCAGTGATATAGCCCCTGCCTACCTCCTCTCTGTTTTCCATTCTGTACCATGCTTCTCTACCGTTTTCCCCACTGGTGCACTATTTTTGATGCACTGGCCTTGCTTTTCCTCAAGCAAGTTCCATTTCTTCCTAATCCAAAGACTTTGCAACTGCTGTTCTTTGTCTTAGAATTCTCTTCCCCTAGACCTGCATGGCTCTCTACCTCATTTATTTGTTGGACATTTCCTTTGATTCGTTGAGTTTCATTCAAGTTCTTAAAATGACACTGACAATGAAATTCGGCCCCACCCCTTTTCTTCTCCAAAGAGACACTTTATGTCTCCTTTCTACTTTCTTCCCTCTCTCATCTAGTTAAATTTCCTAGGTTTTCACAAAAACTAGGAAGGGATAATTATTAAGGACTTTGCTCCTCTCTTAGAATGGAGCTCACTCAAGTCCATTTCTGTGCCTGCAACCAAAAGAAAATTAATATAGTGAGTTGAGTTCCTTCAGGAGCTTTCTCTGTTTTTCTATTGATATCTCTATATTTTTTAAAGCAATGCCACTTTGTTTTGTTTACAAATATATTGAATAGCTGTCAAGATTACTATTTTGTTATTACCCCTCATGAATGTCCATGTCTATTTGGCTTGCTTGTTCTTTCAGATAAATTTTATTTTATTATTGTTGCCAAAAATTCTAAATAAAATAGCAATTATAATAATAAAATGTTATTTTGAAAAAACATTTTTGTTATTTGTCTTTTTATTCGTAACATGGCATATTTATAGTTTAATTTTTTTAGCACTACTATGTAAACTCTTTGCCTTTCCTCCAATTGTGTTTTTTTTAAAATATATTTTTTATTGATTTCAAAGAGGAAGGGAGTGTGAGAGAGAGAGAGAAACATCAATGATGAGAGAGAATCAATCATTGACTGGCTGCCTCCTGCACGCCCCCAACTGGGGATCGAACCCACAACCTGGGCATGTGCCCTTGACTGGAATGGAACCCGGAACCCTTCAGTTCGAAGGTCGACACTCTATCCACTGAGCTAAACCGGCTAGGGCAATCGTGTTTATTTCTAATCTTACTGCATTGGCCAGAACTTCAAAAAGATGTGAAAATGGGCTTTCTTGTTCTTGGTTTCAATAAGAAATGCTTTACCATGAAAGGTAATAAGTATACTGCGTAATGAATTTCTATCTTTTGAATATTTAAAGAGAATTGTTATTTAGTTTTATTGGGTAGTTTATGCCATCTATTGAGATAATCATTCACCTTTTCATTACTGATCCAACGTTTTGCTTGGCTGCATTTACAACTTTTCTATTAGAAACTTTCTTGAAGCAAAAAATAGTTCTACTTGAAGGTGAATATTATCCTCTGTACTCAGAATATCATTTCCTTCTTATTTCTAATATTGAAATGCATTTTCTTTTCCCCTCATTAGTTTGCCACAGTTTTGTCAATGCTTCTGATTTACTTGTTCCAAGAAGCAATTCTTGATTTATTATCCCAAGTAGTTTTGTTTTTATTCTCTATTTTTGTTTGGATTCATTATATACCTACTTTTTCCGCCTTTTAAAAAATGTATTAATTGATTTGAGAGAGAGAGAAGAAGGAAGAGAGAGAGAGAGAGAGAGAGAGAGAGAGAGAGAGAGAAACACCCCAACACATCTACTTGTTGTTCCACTTACCCATTGGTTGAGTCTTACATATGCCTGACCAGGCATTGAACTCACACCCTTGGCATATCGGGATGATGCTCTAACCAACTGAGCTACCTGGCCAGGGCTTTTATACACCTACTTTTAAAGGATTGTTCTTTATTATGGCTTTTTATTTTAAAAGTTAATTTTTCTGTATTAAAGGATTTAAGACTGCCTGGCTTTGTTTATAGCTTTGTCTGAATCCCATATATTTTGATGCATATTTTTATTAAAGTTTTAATTCTCCATACTTTTTTGGTAACTTAATTATGAGATTTAAAAATTTGCAGGCTGACTGTTTTAGTCTGAATGTGTAGTTTTACTGAGAATTAAAATTCTCCTGAGAGCTTTGAGGGGTGTGTTTATTAGACACTGACATGTCCATTTATATAAATATATCCTTTTTAAATTACAAATGAGTTACTAAAAAATGATATTTTTTTGTTTCTATAGTAAATATATGAAATGTTTTAATCTGAAAATAGATCTCTCAAAATAAATCTAGTGTAACAGGTAAAGGTATGAAAATATTCATTTGAGAATAATTACTAGTAACAAAATTTGGAAATGTTAAAGAAAAATTCTTGACACTTAAAGACAGTAAGGAAAACTTTATTCAAGGGAGGACAATTACAATGCGGTTTTGTACTACAGGAAAGAGATTGAGCTAAACTCTGACTCCATCAAGAGCAAAGTGGGGCCCTGACCGGTTTGGCTCAGTGGATAGAGCATCGGCCTGCGGACTCAAGGGTCCCAGGTTCGATTCTGGTCAAGGGCATGTACCTTGGCTGCGGGCACATCCCCAGTGGAGGGTGTGCAGGAGGCAGCTGATCGATGTTTCTCTCTCATTGATGTTTCTAACTCTCTATCCCTCTCCCTTCCTCTCTGTAAAAAATCAATAAAATATATTTTTTTTAAAAAAGAGCAAAGTGGGGATTTACTGCCAAGGAACAGGATGGGTGTCAGTGGATAGGAAATTTCTAAAAGGAAACTTCAAGGATAAGGTCGGTTTTGGCTAAACCAACTTGACAGGATTATTGCCAAGGACAGGCAAGGGTGATAGGGTAAGGGATAGGAATTCGATCAGATACCAAAGGGAGGGCTTTTCCTTTAACTGACCCAGCAGGAATCTTGCTAAAAACTGGACTAAAGAGGAAGAGCCACCGGATTAAAGACAGTTCACAGTTGGGAGTTTATTAGTCCTCTATTGATGTACAACAAAGTACAGAACTAACAGCTTTAAAAAACACACACAAAACACTTGGTACCGTACACCAAGCATGTCAAACTTGTGGCCCGCGGGCCACATAAATACTCATTAACGATGACTCATTTATTTCAGCCCTTTGTATTCAGCATGTCTCTATCAAAACAAACCTACATTTCTATGAAAATGGAAGCTTTTGTTTTTGCAGCCCACATAATTAAACCTTGTTTATTTGGCCCTTGTTAGCCTTTGAGTTTGACATGCTGGCCTTACACTGTGTCTGAGAGCCAGGAACCCAGGAGCAACTTAGCTGGGTTGTTCCGCTTCGGCGCTTCTTGAGGTCTTAGTCACCTGAAGGCTTGCCTGGGGCTGGAGGACTTGCTTCCAAGATGACTCACTCCCCTGGCCAGTGAGAGGTCACTGTTCCTTTCTGGCTGTTGGGAGAAAGCCTGAGGTCCTCCACGGGAGCCTCTCCACTGGCGACCTGAGTTCTCAAGACTCGACTACCTGGCTTCCAGAGCGAGTGAGGGAGGGGAGCGAGCGAAGGAGGGAGTGGGGAGCGAGCGAGGGCTCTGCAGTGCCTTTGCGGCCTCCTCTCAGCAGTTTTACTGTCATTTCCACGCTGTTCCATTCATTAGAAGGGAGGCGCTCAGCTCAGCCCACACATTAAGAGGAAGGTGGTTACGATTCACTTTGAAGGGACTCAGTTAATCAGGTGCGTTTCCTGCTTTGGGAGTCCTTTGCTCTCTTCTGGTCCTTGGCCTGCGCTTGTTTGCGAAGGGGGTTCCCCTCACATCTCACCTTCCTAAGTGCTGCCCAAACAGAGCTCTCTCTGTGTCACGGCGTCTCCTAACAGTCCTTTTGCCCTTCTCCTCCATCATCCTGAAGTCCTCACACTCACCGCCACCTCACCAGGACAGCCCACACCCCGGACGTGGGGTCAGTGGGGGCGGTCTTAGTGGTTGTTACCCACAGTCTGCCCTCCGGCCCTTGGAGACCCATCCCTCTCCCGTGGCAGACGCACTGCCTAGGCCTGTGGTTCAGCTTTGCACACACAGAAAGGAAGTCTGCAGGCGCAGAGGGCACGGAGCCCGGGGTTTATGTCTCACTTCCCCGCCTGCATCTGTCACTGTGCAATGGTTGCTGAACCACAGAGCACAGTAATACTCCGCCTCGTCCTCGGGCTGGGCCCCCGTGATGGTGAGCGTGGCCTTGCCTCCCGCCAGGGCGCCGGAGAACCGGACCGGAACCCCTGGAACCCGGTTGGTGGTACCACCTATTATACCCTTGGGTACCTGGTAGGGCTTCTGTTGGATCCAGCTAGCATAGTTACTGGTGCTGACGGCGGCCCCCGTGCTGGCGCCGCAGGTGAGTATGACCGTCCCCCCAGGGTTCGTGATCAGTGAGGATTGCTGAATCACAGACTGGGAAGTGGCCCCTAAAAACAGGTGAGAGACCAAAGGTCAGGGACAGGGACAGGGGGCAGGAAGGAGCATTGTGGTCTCTCTCACTCCCACCCTCCCACCCCACAGCCCAGAGAGGCCCCCCTGACCTGTGCAGTGAGCCACAAGCGCAAGCAGGAGCGAAGCCCAGGCCATGGTGTAGACGCCCCGTGCTGTGCTTCTCGAGCCCCCTCAGCACAGAGTCAGCCTGCACTGCTCTCATTTTAGCTCCTTCCACCCTCGGGGGTGGGCATTTCATGCAAATAAGCTCCCCTCCCGGGGGCGCTGAGCAGTGTGGCCCCGTCTGGCAGCCCCTGAGCTGCTCCACATCAGTGACAGTTGGATCAGGCATACAGGACCATTTCACAGCTGAGCTTGCCTCCCGGGCGCTGGCCCACAGCCCCCTCTAGTGACCACAGTGAGAATATCACCAAAGGGCAGATGCGCTCCTGCGGGGCTGTTCCTGTTTGCAAGCCCTCTTCGCTCTGGTCCGGAGTTTTTAGTTCTCTCCGTGGCTGTGCCTTTACTCTGCTCCTCTCATTTCATCTTTTGGAGAAGCGGAACTCAGATTCTATTTCCTCCTTGCTTAAAAACCTCTGAGGGCTTCCTGTTGTCCACCCCTTTCTTGTCAGTGTCACCTCTGGTCACACCCCACCATATGCCTTCTTCTCATGGTCCGGTTGTCTCTCACTTCCCTGTAGGGTCAGTCCCGGGAGGATGGGCACCCCGTCTGTCTGGTCAGTGCTGTGCTCTGAGCTCTAACCCGAGCCTGGCACAGAGGAAAACGTAAGGACGCACAGACCTCCGCATCTGTGGTGTCCCCTGAGTGGGACCCAACTGGACTCGGTCCCTGTTCTGACCTGGCTCGTTACAGACTCTCTCTCCAGGGCAGGCTGCCGCTGGGATCGTGAACTTCATTTGACAAGGGCGCCCTTTGAAGGACAACTTCGGGAGGACGAGGCTGCATTCTTTAGGCAGTTGTCCTGACTTGAGTCCTAGGCCCTAAGTAGGGGTCACACTAGCCCATATGTAAACAAAAGCTTCCCAATGAAAACAGCAGGCATCTCCCCCTGACTTCACAAAAGCCACACCAGGGAACAGGAGTATTTCATTAAAAACAAGATTAATTAGCCCTGGCCAGTTTGGCTCAGGGGTTAGAGCACTGGCCCATGGACCAACGGGTCTTGGGTTCTATTCCCAGTCAAGGGCTCGTATCTTGGTTGCAGGTTCAATCCTCCACCCCGGTTGGGGCGCCGATAGGAGGCAACCAATTGATGTGTCTCTGACACATCGATGCTTGTCTCTCTCTCTCTCCTCCATCCTTTCCACTCTATCTAAAAATCAATGGAAAAAATTTTCTCACTCATTGGGTGAGGATTTTAAAAATTAAAAAGAAATAAAAGCAAGATTAATGATATAGCATCATTTCTTTTAAAAATATTTATTTATTTATTTATTTATTTATTTATTTCAGAGAGGATGGGAGAAGGGGAAAGAAATAGAAACATCAATGATGAGAGACAATCATTCATCGGCTGCCTCCTGCACACCCCACACTGGGGATCAAGCCCGCAACCCAGGCATGTGCCCTGACCGGGACTCGAACCCTGACCTCCTGGTTCCTAGGTCAATGCTCAACCACTGAGCCATGCCAGCTGGGTACCCTTCCCTTTACTTTTCAATGGATGATCCACATTTAGGCTACTTAAGAGCTGGTGTGTCTGATCACGTGATCCCCTGTCACAGGCCCCAGCGGAGGTTTATGTCTTGGTTCCCCATCTGCGTCGCTCACTGTGCCGAGCACCACTGTACACCAGCCAGCAGTGGTACTCCGCCTCGTCCTCAGGCTGCGCCCCTGCGAGGGTCAGGGCAGCTTTGCCCCCTTGGATGGAGCCTGAGAACCGGGCCGGCGTCCAGGAGTGTCTGTTGTTCGTGTTATAAATGAGTGTCCTGGGCGCTTGGCCAGGCTTCTGCTGGAACCAGTACGGATAGTGGCCATCGGTGACGGCCCCTGTGCTGGAGCCACAGGTGAGAGTGACTGTCCCTCCGGGGGACACGGTCATTTCGGGCTCCTGGGTGACCACAGCCTGAGACCTGGACTCTGAAACCAAAAGCAGACACCTGTCAGGGATAAGGAACAAAGGCAGAGGGACCCCTCCAGTGGCTGGTATGGGGGTCTGTATTCACCTGGGCAGTGAGTGAGGAAGAGGAGGAGGAGGAGAGGGGTGCAGGCCATGGTGCAGACGTTACAAGGGCCCCCGGCTCTGAGCTGGGGCGGCCTCTCTGCAGACTCTTTATCTCCTACTGAGCTGCTGTGTGAAGGGGTGTGTTGGAGGCTCACCTTATGCAAATCTGAGCCTGTCACCACTGACGTCCACCCTGGGAGCAGCTACACAGTCAGCGGGTAAGCCAGAGGTGGGTGGAGGTTGTGCGTCTACCCTGTGGGAGGAAACAGCTGCTCTAAGCTGTTATACAGGCCAGTGAGCAACCCTTCATGGTCCATTGAATTGGAGCCACTTGAAGTTCAAGGCCGCTGAGAAGATCCATAGCGCCCCCTGGTGGCCTCTTGGGCTGAGAGTGTGTGGTCTCCTCTCAGTTATGAACATAACTGTTGACTTACTTGTTAACATCGCAGCTGTTGTTTCCCAGGCCATCCCGCACCCATTGCTTGTCTCTTCTTGGCTCATTCCTGTTGGTACATCTTCCTCTGGTTGTTGTTGAAATCCTACCCCGGGGTCAGTGTCAGTGTTACAAGGCCTTCGTTTCTTATCTGAGTGTTTTGCATGACTCAGGAATGATTTCATGGCCAACTGACTCTGTTGACATTCTTTATTTTGAGCCTTACATGGAATAGACAGCTGGTTTTAGTCAGAATTATTTACTTTAGAGCAGTGGTCGGCAAACTGCTTTAGAGAATTAAAAGAAAAAGACCAAAGACCGAGGGTTAAATGTTTTACGGCCAAATGGGTGGAGACTAAAGTCATCTGTGTGAATGGTCAACATGACCAAGTCCCCCCAAAAAACCTCTGGACGCCGAGCTTGGGTGAACTCTCCTGGTGGGCGGTACTCCGTGCAGTGTGGCACATGGCTGCCAGGAGGCGTTCGCATTGTCCGTGACCTACCCCACTGGGAGGAGACAGGGGACGCTGGCACTTGGAATTCTTGCGGGCCCTCCTCGTGGGCCTCTTTGACTGGTTCCCATCTGAAGGTCTATATTTTAAATGTCAAGCTTCAGCGGAGGTTCAGTGTAGTAATGAAAAGTAGGCAGAAGGTGAGCATTATTTTTTATATTTTTATTTAGAGACGACTACCTGGAAAATACAAACGCTCCAGGATTGAATGTGGAAGGTTGTACAGCCAGACCTGGGATCTAGTTCAACAGGTGTTAGTGAGTAAATTCGGGAGAAGGAAATGAGATAGGCTTACTTCAGCTTTTTATTTTGGAGTGATTTTAGGTGCACAGAAATGTTGCAAAGATAGTACACATATCCTTCACCAAATCTCCCCTGATGTTAACAACTTACACAACCACGGTAAATATTAAGATGATCAAAACTCACTTACAATTGATAATCCAAATAATAGTCCTATGGTTATTAAGGAGACTTAGTTGGTTGGTAAAACGCCGTCCAGAAATGAAAACTTCGTGCTAAGCTTATTTTATTTCTGAATTCTACCAAACTTTTATTTTTTAAAAATTATATATATTTTTGTTTCAGAGAGGAAGAGATAGGGAGAGAGAGAGAGAGAGAAATATCAATGATGAGAGAGAATCATTGATCGGCTGCCTCCTGCACGCCCCACATTAGGGATTGAGCCTGAAACCCGGGCATGTGCCTTGACCAGGAATTGAACCATGACCTCCTGGTTCATAGGTCGAGGTTCAACCACTGAGCAACACCAGCAATTTTGGGCCTTCCTTGGCTTGCAGCTGCATCACCCAGTCTCCACCTCCATCTCCTCAGAGTGCTCCCCATGTCTTCATGGGGCTTCTTGCTATCAGGACTCCAGCCACATGGCATTAGGAGGCCACCCCACTCCAGGATGGCCTCATCTTCACTAATTACATCGGCATCGACCCTGTGTTCTTATCTTTTTTTTCCCCCTGACCCTGTTTTCAAATAAGGTGACATTCTTAGGTCCTGAGATATGTATGACTTTAACATATCTTTTTTGGGGGTGGGAGACACAATTTAACCAAGAACATTAGGGAAGAAGAATCATTTAAAAATGTTTATACATTTTATTTTATTTTATTTTTTTTATTTATTTATTTTTTAAATATATTTTATTGATTTTTTACAGAGAGGAAGGGAGAGAGATAGAGAGTTAGAAACATCGATGAGAGAGAAACATCCATCAGCTGCCTCCTGCACATCTCCACTGGGGATGTGCCCGCAACCCAAGGTACATGCCCTTGACCGGAATCAAACCTGATTTATTTTATTTATTTTATTTTCGCTCTATCCACCGAGCCAAACCGGTTTCGGCTATTTTATTTTATTTTATTTATTTTATTTTATTTATTTACATCCTCACCCGAGGATATTTTTCCATTGATTTTAGGAGAGAGTGGAAGAGAGAGAGAAAGACCGAGAGAACTATTGATGTGAGAGAAACACATTGATTGGTTGACTCCTGCATATGCCCCGACCAGGGTCCAGGCCTGGGAGGAGCCTGCAACCCAGGTACGTGCCCTTGACCGGAATCAAACCTGGACCCTTTGGTCCACAGGCCGACTACCCACTGAGCCAAACCGGCTACGGATGTATACTTTTCAATATATTTTAAATATATGCAATACAGTTATTAAATGCATTATATGACAATAAAACAACTTCAGTAACATATGAGAGGACGGTTTCTTTCCTTTGCTCGTAGCTGGCAATGAACATTGGAGATGCTTTTATCTGGAAGAAATGTGTTTGACCTTAGTCCTTAGTTCTGATCCAGCAGATATTGTTTCTTCTATAAAATAAATGAATTCTGCTTTTTGTGCCTTAGTTGCTCATCTCTATTCCCTCCACTTTAGGGTTAAAACAGGAATGGAATCAATTCAGACCCTTCCCCTCACCTTCTCTCTATGGATGGTCAATGTTTAAGTTCCCCTGAGAGCTCAGATGTCTGTTACGTGATGCCAGTATCACAGGACCATGTTTGTACCCACACTCAGCCAAGCTCAGGTT